AGGGGCCGGATTTGTGAACAGTAAGGACCAAAAAGGGGATTTTTTCGGTACAGGGACTAAAAAAGGGCTTTTTCCTATAGTAGAGGGACCAAAAAGGGTATTTAACCTTTAAAATATTATCTTTGTAAACACATATATATTGATCATTGTACATAGTATTATTCAAGAAAATAATAAACATTTCTTCAAATATTTCTCATTCTTTTTTGTTTTTAACATAATATCAGAGCTATAAACTCCTGTTTCTTCTTCTTCTTTTTTTTTTTTTTTTATCATCACTGCTTAGTTTCTAAGTTGGATTTTTAGATTTATTCCAGATCTAAAACTTTGTCATTGGGTTCTTTTCTCTTATAGATTGGATTGTTTATTTTCAATTCTTTGACCTTTTTTAAGGTATTTTGTTAAATTGTTATTTCGATTTCGACATTTATTTTTTCATATTTTTAGAGATTTTTTCAGTATTGTAAGTTCTATTAATTTTATGGCCAATTTTGAAAGAACTATGACTCATTCTACTGTTACAATGGTTGCCAAAGAGGCGATAGACCAACCTATTGTCAACCTTGAATCTCTAAAATAGGTGATATTAAATCTTTTTAGTACTCCTATTGCCTTATCTGCTGTTTCAGGCACTAAACCTTAGTATTTTGATTCTGGTTGTTGTAATCACATGTCTTTAACTATTACTCATTTCTCTTCAATGTCACCAAATAATTCATTTCCTGACATTTATTCTGCTGATGGCTTCCCTATGAATGTTAGTCATATTGGCAATGTTTCTACAAATTTATTGACTTTGCCAAACACTTTCTTGGTTCCAAAACTTAGTTATAATCTTTTATCAGTTGGTCAATTATGTGATCTTGGTCTTGAAATAACATTTTTTGCTCATGGTTGTCATGTGTAGGACCCATAGATAAGACAACTTTTTAGAACTAATTATTTGGCGATAGACCAACCTATTGTCAACCTTGAATCTCTAAAACAAGTGATATTAAATCTTTTTAGTGTTCTTATTGCCTTATCTACTGTTTCAGATACTAAACCTTAGTATTTTGATTTTGATTGTTGTAATCACATGTCTTCAACTATTGCTCGTTTCTCTTCAATGTCACCAAATAGTGCCTTTCTTAACATTTATTCTGCTGATGGCTTCCCTATGAATGTTAGTCATATTGGCAATGTTTCTACAAATTTATTGACTTTGCCAAATGCTTTCTTGGTTCCAAAACTTAGTTATAATCTTTTATCAGTTGGTCAATTATGTGATCTTGGTCTTGAAGTAATATTTTTTGCTCATGGTTGTATGTGTAGGACCCACAGATATGACAATTTTTTAGAACTAGTCACAAGGTGGGATGTCTGTTTGAGCTCAATTGTCTACATATTTCTCATCATAAAATGGATACACCATCATTTCCAAATGATCGATTCATCTAAACCCTACTTTGTGCTATTGAATTAGAGTCTTTATAAATTCCATATCAACAAATCTTCCAACCATGTGCTGCTACTAACATTTATCCTCTTCATTTATGGCACTAACGGCTTAGACGCACCTCAGTTGGTAAACTCCATCCTCTTATCTCTCATGGTTTATTAGGATCTGCTCCAAATGAATCCTTGCATTATGTGTCATGTTAATCTGCAAAACAACCAGCTTTATTTTTTTCTAGTTGTCATTCTCTTTCTACTGCTTCTTTTGATCTTGTGCATTATGATGTTTGGGGTTCATCTTTAACACTTGCCATAGGGGGTTTTAGGTACTTTGTGTTATTTATTGATGATCATACTCGTTTTACCTGGATATATGTTATGAAAAATCGCTCTAAGTTACCACAACAATCTTGTCTTTACACTTCTAAATAGAATAGGAGAGTAGAACGTAAACGTAAACACAAACACATCCTTGATTTTGTTTGTGCTCTGCTCATTTCATCTTCTTGTCCAGAGTGATTTTGGGGTGAAGGTGCTCTTACAGCTGTTTATCTCATTAATCAGATTCCATCATCAGTCATTAATAATAAGTCTCCATACAAATGTTTGCATGGTATTCCACATGCCTACGATCTTCTTAAGGTTTTTGGTCGTGCTTGTTTTGTTCTTCTTTCACCTCATGAATAACAAGCTAAAGCCTAAAGCTTGATTATGTTGTTTTTTGGGTTATGGAATTACACATAAAAAATATTGTTGTTGGGATCCTGTGTCATAAAAACTTCGAGTCTTACGTCATGTTGTCTTTTGGGAACACACTATATTTTCCTCGTTATCAAACTTTTAGGTGTCATCTTTTGATCAACCTCCATTTTTTACTAACCCTTCTATTGAGCTTCTCTTAGCAACTCTAATGCAGATACATTTGATGAGCTTCATGATGCCTCTCCACATGCTTCACTTGTTTCTATAAAAGATGCTCTGCCTGTTAATAATGTATTAGACAATGCTGAGTCTTCTTCCCTTACCTCTTCTATATCACCTATTAAATCTAACCCTGTTGATATTGAGCCTGAAAATGAGATCCTTAATCCACCTTCAAGTCATCCTACTCGAGGTAAGAAATCTTCCTAGCTATCTTCATGATTATCATTGTTTTCCTGCTATTACCTCCTTATATAAGTCTTAATTCTATCAAAAAGCCTCTTCTAACCCTCTTTGGCAGTAAGCTGTGTAAGATGAATTACAAGCTCTTAAGAAAACTCGTACATGGATTTAGTTGATCTTCTTGTTGGAGAGCTTCTAGTAGATTATAAATGGGTGTATAAGATCAAAACTCGATCTGATGGTTTTGTGGAGCATTACAAGGCTTGTTTGGTTGCTAAAGGATTTACTCAAGAATATTGGATTGATTATGAGGAAACCTTTGCACCTATTGCTCATCCCACTTCAATTCATAGTTTGATTACTATTGCTACTACAAAAGGATGGAAATTGTTTCAGATGGCTGTGAAAAATGCCTTTCTAAATGGTGATCTTATATGGGAAGTTTACATGAAACCACCTACTAGATTTGAGCATCCTCCAAACAAAGTTTGCCAATTGAAGCAAGCTCTATATGGTCTGAAACAAGCACCTCAAGCTTGGTTTGCCAAGTTTAGTACGACCATCAATGAATTTGATTTTACTTTTAGTCCTTATGATATTGCGCTATTCATACGCAATACTAATCATGGTATAGTTTTACTACTTTTTTATGTTGATGATATGATCATTATTGGGGTTGATCTTTTAGGTGTTCATGATTTTAAGCAATTTCTCAGTCATAATTTGAGATAAAAGATCTTGGTATTTTGAGTTATTTCTTAGGAATTGAGGTCACCCCTTCTAATGATGGTTATCTTTTCTCCCAAACAAAATATGCTTATGATCTTATATTTAAAGCTGGACTCATTGACAGTAAAACTACATCTACTCCTCTTGAGCCAAATGTTCGACATACACCCATGGATGGTTCTCCATTAGTTGATCCTACTTGCTACAGACAATTGGTGGGAAGTTTGATTTATCTCACTACAACATGACCAGACATAGCTTATGTAGTTGACATAGTTTAAGTAGTTCATGTTGTTAGCTAGTGTATGGCTGCGCCTCACTCCATTCACTATGCAGCAATAGTTCACATTATTCACTATATTAAAGGTATCATTTTTCATGGACTTCACTTTTCTGCTCATACTTCACTTTTTTGCTCATTCATCTCTTGAACTTCGTGCTTACTCTGATGCTGATTGGGCTAAAGACTCTAATGATCATAAATCCACCATTGGATATTGTCTTTTTCTTTGTGATTCCTTAATCTCTTGGCACAGTGAGAAGCAATCAATTCTATCACGTTTCAGCATAGAGGCCGAATATCAAGCATTTAGAGACGCCACATCAGAGTTACTTCATTTATGTTGGCTACTAGAAGATATGGGTATTCCTCAATTGCCTGCTACTAATCTTTATTGTAACAATCAGAATGCTATGCAAATTGCTCATAATGATGTCTTCCATGAATGCACTAAACACATTGAGGTTGATTGTCACTTTGTTCGCCATCATGTTGCACAAGGAACTGTTCATTTGGTTTTCATTAGCTTCGTTGATCAACCAACAAACCTTTTGACCAAGGCTCATTTTCCTGGATGTTTTCATACTCTTATTTCCAAACTCAAGTATCACAACAACCTTGAGTTTGAAGGAGATGTTAAGATATAAACATAATAATTTAGATCATATTCACACTTATTGTAAATATTCTCCTTGTATACATTATACTTTATAATATTTTCTTTGTAAATACCTATAGAGGGATCATTGTACATACAATATTATTTAAAAAAGCAATAAACTTTTCTTCAAATATTTCTCCTTTTCTGTTTCTAACAAAATCCAAGTAAAGAAGTTGCAGAGCTATTGGGTAGTCTAGAAAAGAAAAGGAGAATGCAAGGCTGGTTTTCTGGTGGTACCAGGATCAACAAAGAGCAACCCAAGGCGGGATCGTGTGTTTGTTGGCAGAATAGAACTCGCATGCAACTTCATGAGACTCAGAAGAGGGAGGAACAAGTGCATTTAGGTTCGATATCGAGGCTGCAATGAGGTCTGCCAGTGATACTATCACTGGCACCTTCAACGTGTAAGCATCGTCTTTTTCTCCTTGATCTTGGGAAAATTTCTTAAGTGAATTAAGATTTAAAAAAAATTAAGAGATTAGAAAAATATAGTTAAGAAATTAAAAAAAAAAAATTAATTAGATCTTTTTAAAATTTAGTAAATCATTTGATTTAATTATAAATATTTAATATTATTTTCATGTACTTGACAAAGTTATCTACTAATTATTTTTAATTTATTAATTTTTTAATCTTTAA